CAAAGAAAAAATTCAGAAAAAGTAAAAACAATATGTTCCCAAACTTCGTTTGGGGAACATAATGAGATTACTGTCCGAGTCCTTATAGTATCTACATTTATATCACAAGTACTATTTATTGTGTCATTAAATCTTGAAATTCATTTTCAAAGTCTGTATCTAAAGTTTATCACTCTGCTTTGATACAATTTACTGTCGCTATCAATTTTTAACCTCAGCATTTCTGTGAAATTTTTTTTATTCTTTTGTGTACATTTTTAAATTCTAGACATAATTATAAATTCACATTATTTGCAGAATTTCAAACCATTTTCATTTATATAAATCTATTTTGTACATTGAGTTACTGTACATGTATTATATTTAGCATGTACGATATTTGGCGGAAATTGATTATTGAACAAGTTAGCATAGATATGATTCAGCGGATAACTTAATGTTCTTATTGGAGTTTTATGAAGAGACTTACTTTTACATTCGACAGCTGACTTTTACATTCTAAGTAATGGAGTTAGTCTATGTATAAATTGTAAAAGTCAGTCGTCGATTGTAAAAGTAAGTCTCTTCATAAAACTCCTTTAATGAGTATATTTGCGAAACATTTAGCATTGTACTTGAATTAACGGAAGTTTCTGCCAAAAGCACTAAAAAGTATACACAGCCAAATGTAATATATTTACAGTATGATAATCATTATTTTTGACTTAAAAAAAAGTAAAAAAAAAAAAGGGGGATGAAATAATTTAAGGGAAAAGTTTTGAATTTTCTAATGTATTTATAAATATTTCCCTTTAATAAAAATGTTAATGTTCCATTGTAACAGCATGTTGCAAATGACAAAATGAACATATTTTATATTTTTATATTTATATAAAGATTACAATTTAATAAAACATTTTTGTGTCATTATAATGGAATAAACTTCTTAGATACCAGTATCTGTGATTTTTCTTAGATTTTAGTTTTCATCAAGAGTTATCTTTCTTAAATGAGTTGTTGCCCGTGATGACCCAATTTTTTAAATTTGTCATGACCCATACTTTGATTTTAGAACATAAAATCATAGGGTTTCCATGCATAAAGTTTTACCCATTTGTACAATGGATACCTTAAGAATTATACAGTATATAGATACATGTAACTTAACTGAATGAAAAACGTCATTCAACGAATAGAGATAGGCTAGCTTTTAAAAGATAGAGCAAATTTTCGCCGGCATTAGTTTTGTGCATCAAGGCTCACAAAATAATTTAGTGTTTTAGCAAACAAAATATCGTTTGGTAAAAGTCTGTAGCAACGGCTTTTAATGTGTGTGTGGGGGAGGGGAGGGGGTGGGGGGCTCCGACAAAAAAATCTGCATACTACAGAGCTGTGCTTTTCGTAAACCACCAGATCTCTATTTTTCATGATAAATTTCTTCCGTATAAATCCAGAACAGTCCAAGTCAGTATCAGTTACACGTAGCAAAATAACCCGATTTTTTAAACTAACAAAACTACAATGAAGCGCACTGAAGTGGTAAAATTTTCCATTTGGATGAAACGTTCCGATTCATGTTTTGAACGTCAATTATAACATAACGACACGCCCATTATAAGAAAGATATATTCGTCGTAATGTTTTAGGACACCCCACTTTCCGGAACAAACAACATGATTTACTCAGAAATGAAGATTTTTATTAAGAAAGAGCTACATATAGAGTACCCGCTTCTGTAAAACTCGCATTGAAACGAATTTGTACATGTACATAATTATGATTTTATCATGTTTATTGGAGTTAGCATAATGCATGTATCAGTCGAACACTTGCTTACTCGGTGTTTATGTAGACCCTCATTTTGATTAGCTATTATATTTATGGAACCTGTTCTACAGGTATTCGATTGAATCATTTGACCGATTTTTCCTTTCTAAAGAAATGGGCGTGTTTAAAGATAACTCAAAACGTTCCATCCAAACGGAAAATTTTACCACTTCAATGCGCTTCATTGTAAAGGTCGCTAATCGGAGATGAAATTTCACAATTTTGCTTAGAGGCTACAATCAGTTATAAGCAGTGGCGGATCCAGAGGGGGGTTACGGGGGTTGCAACCCCCTCTTTGGATTTGCAAAAAAGAAAGAGAAATAAGAAAGTTCCAATTTTTTGCTTGTGTTTTTACTATAGAAAATGTAAGGTGAAAGGCTAATGTAATATATAAGGAAATTCGGTTGTAAAAACAAAATAAAACCCCATCCCTTTACAAAATAGGATTTTCAAGTTCGGAGATTTATTTTCCTTTCTTTTTCAAAAACTTTCTGGTAATGTATACAAGTACTTTTTTCCAGGTTGATTCACGTCCCACTTTCAAAAACCATACTCCACCCTGTATCAATATTCCATTGAGTTATTTAACTATATATATGTGTACAACGCACGTTTTAACTGTTTTCGCCTTCAACCCCCCACTTTTGAAAAATACTTCAACCCCCCCCCCCCTTTAAAAAATTTCTGGATCCGCGCCTGTATAAGTAGGCAGATCATTGTAGAAAAAGTGAACAAACCTACATGAATATTCCCTACACCTAGAAATTTTCTTAATTGAATTTCAGTTAGAAAAAAACATGCATATGGTCCACGTATTGCGGTCCTTTTTTAAAGGACAGCAACTTGTTTTCACTATATAATCAATAGAGCCCCGCCCTAACACCAGAACCCCTGATCCTGGGACCATGAATTTCACAATTTTGGTAGAGGACTCAATGCTGATTACAATCACACCAACAGTTTGACTGCTTGATGTCCGGGAGTAAAGAAGATTTTTAAATATTGCACTAATTTTAGTGGTTTTTGCCCCACCCCCAGGCCCCCAGGCCCCAGGGGGGCAGGGACCACGAAATTCACAATTTTTGTTACCCTTCACCCATAGATACTACATGCCAAAATTGGTTGAAATTGGTTCAGCGGTGTCAGAGAAGAAGCTGAAAATGTATAAATGTTAACGCACGACGAACGACGACGGACGAAAACGAATAGCAATAGGTCACCTGAGTAAACTCAGGTGACCTAAAAAAAATCTACGAAGAGTTTTAATATCCAGATACATTTCTTCTAAACGAAGGATGAGTGCACTTAAGCTGAGAGTTGGGTCCCGGTGTTTTGCGCAAAATAAATTCCCGAATTTCATTAAATCTATGTTTTATAGGTATTAAGAAATGTCTTAAGAACAGGTTTTGGTATATTATATTACATGTAAGTACTAAATAATGCCGAATTTGTCACAGTTTGTCACATTTCTATTGTTATTCATATGCATACCAGTTGTCATCGACATTGTTTACATCGTACCGCAACTCATTTAAACAAAATGTGTATTTTGATTTAAACTTTATATATATATATATATATATATATATATATATATATATATATATATATATATATATATATATATATATATATATATATATATATATATATATATCCAATGAAAAAAAAGTCAAGAATCACAAACCTTGAAAATCATTTTTACTGTTAGCGCTTTCTGCCTAATGGCTCTTCAGACAGTTAAAAGTTAAATTTAACTATTAACTGACTGAAGAGCCATTAGACAGAAAGCGCTAACAGTAAAATTGATTTTCGAGATTTGTGATTCTTGACTTTTTTTCATTGGATATATTTTACTGTACCAAAACACTGGATTTTTCTTAAATTATATATATATATAATTATATATATATATATGCAAAGGACAACGTTGGTCAAGTTGCGGCTCATATCTAATTTTTGAAAAAGTCTCCAAATTACCGTCAAGTTAGCCACTAAAGTGGTCCCCAACTGTTGACGATTGATATTATAATCATTCCACGGTTCGATACGCCTGCGCTTGCATTGAACTTTTCATTGTGTTTTTGTCTTTTGAATTTTTTATTTGGACAGTATCTATCGTACTTCCAACTTCAAACTATGGATGCTTTTTGCGCAAATTTTAATAAGGTTTGAAGATTATATGTCTTATTTTACATTAGGAGTGTTTTGAAAGAATTCTTTTATTTGTAGTGAGATTAGTAAATATAAGCTCAAGTCGCCTCAGTATTATGATCTGCAGGGCGATACATCTTACCCCATCCCTTATCACTAGGATCATTTATTATTTGTGCACCGTGAAACTACACAATCTCTCTATTCATCACTGAAATTCGTAGTGAAGCACCTGATTGCGAAAAAATCACATGCGCTGTTGTTTACATTCCACATCCATGCATTTAAATGTCTCCGTCTATTTGAGGGTGCACACGTGTCTTAAATTCGATAGTGGTACCCCGTTCAAATTTCCGGAATTTAAGGGTTATACATGTTTTTTTTTTTCAATGGCATTGTCTGTAATTATAGAAATATGTGTGACAAAAAATTCAAGGCATAGATATCAAAAGCATATGCTTGCACAAAAATCATAGATTAATTTAGCGATATACTGGGAGTATTGTAATGTTAAGATTAAAATGGATAGCCGAAAAGGCTTCAAATGACGTACTTAAATGCACTCATTCTTTTCAATCAAAGATTAGTAAATTAAATAAAATATCTTAAATCTTTTTGTTTAAGTTCACAGTGTCCAGAAAATGTCGTTGATTGTAGATCTGTAGTCTAAAAGGCAAATGTCGGGATCAGTGCTCTAACCTTCTAAAATGTTTATATGTTTCAATATTTCCATTTCTATTTTATTTTCTCTGTGATAACTCTTTGAAAGTTAACAGAGTTCATTTCTTGATAATTCTACCGGAATGTAAATAAGGCAGGTCGATAGGTCAGGAGTTAAGGAGTCCTAATATGCATGCAAATATCGTGCGCATCTGTCCCTGTGTCTGACGCTGAGAAGGCCAATATGCATGTAAATCTCGTGCGGCTGCCTCTGTGTTTGACGTCAGTGGCCGAGGACTATTGAAATTGGCATGGGAGTCCTCGTGAAATTTAAAAACTATGTCTACATTTTAAAAATCTAAATCTACAATATTATTTTATTTCACAATGAAATGGTGGAAATATAAGGAATCACTCTCTAGTTAGTATAGTATGCCAGGGACATTAACGTAAGTGGGAAACATGGGATAATTAAGGCCCGTTATGTAAAATAACTAATGTTGCCCGCTATCGTTGATGCCCTGGCATACCATACTAACTACACAGTGATTTCTTAAAAAACACAGATATTTTTACAATCATCTGAACTATATACAAATGTGGAGATGATGGACAAAGGATTCCGAGATTTGTTTTTTTTTTAAGATCAAGACCAAACGTAGATAGCGAGGAAATGCCCTATTTCATGCATTTATAATACTTCAGCATCCTCCTAAGGTGATGTTAAAGCAGCATACTGCATAATTCAACCATTTGATAGGATTTATAGTTTTAATACCTTCTCTGTTGAAACTCTCCGCCAGAAATTTGCTGTACTCTTCAGACAGTTTGTCCTATAATGAAACATATCTATATTTTTATTTCAAAGCATATTTTTTTTCCTGTGAAAAAATATAAATATTAATGCACCTACTGTAAATCAATTTTTTTCGCATAATCTTTTATTCGCGATTTGTAACTTTAAAATCATTCCGCGATGATTAATTTTCGCGACTGTTGAAACATTCTCAAACAAATACAAAGCTTAATAAGTGTTTCACGACAATTATTATTCGCGAGGTAACGTAGGTGTTGAAAATCATTCGTAGTCCTCGTAAATGAAACTAAAACAGTCCAAAGTAGTATAAGACCTGATTTATTCCATTTTCGTCGTTTCCACCTGACTGTATCAAGATCTTTCCACCCCAAAGATGAAATTTACAATTCATTCATGTCGATAACCACAATGTATTGTACATTTTAATGAAGATTTTTAAGAATACATGTGGGGGATAATAATATATCACGTCAACTTGTTCTCACCGCCTGGCCATTACTTCTGGAGATACAAATACTACATTCGGAAAGAGCTACATGTATAAGCACATTTCTTTCAGCATCTAGTTCGTTTACAAAATGTGCCCAAACCAGACAATTTTAAATGGTACATTTACCATTCAATGAATGAATGAAATATTTGGAAACAACGAAAAGTATCCGAACTCAAAAGTCCATTTAACATTAAAAATAAGCGCGGAGCAAACACGGACCTCAAAAACATCAGAGTTGGGATCAGGTGCCTTGGAAAGGTGAGTATCCCTTGCCGACCGGTCACAGTAAAAAATGGAGATAAAGAACAGTAATGAAGTTTATAAGTTCAGTGAAAAAACGAATTTGAAAGAAGAATTTGGCGTAAACGACGTAAAACTAGTTCTCCAAATTTAGATTTTACTTCTAATCGTCAAATCCTTAGATTTACTGGAAATTCGGGTATTAAAAAAAAAACCCACACACAGAATTCGAAATACTTTTCATCAGTCAGGCACTTTTAGAATCGAATAGTGTTATAAGAACTGAAATGTTGAACAATTATTTGTCCTTTTTATAAAGCACCCACTAAAAGTCTGGTTATTGTATTCTAAAACTTAATTTAAGTCACGTATAAGTAAAATGTTAAGGTAGTCTGATCTTCAGGTTTACAAAATTAGCAGTTAAGTAAAAAAAAATAATCATAAAAGTATCTCTGAATCCACAAAGTTAAATAAATTTATCCACAGTATTTCTTTAAAGTTAAAGATTAAAGTTAATCATACTATATATAGGGAAAACTGTCAAATCTCCAGTATATTTTACAGAAAAGGCGAATTGGAATATCATCAATGAATTTTCTCATTGCAAATTGATCAACAAATATATATATTTTAGGTTATAAAACGATAGGTATCCAGGCATTTAGAGACATTTTCATGATTTTTATACTTATTTGATATTTTTTGTCTTCTATTTCCGTCATGTATTCTATAATACATAGTGTAAAAGGCTTTTGCAATCATTGCAAGACACCATAAATCACTTCTGCTTTCATATAATGCTATGCTAATAAACATTGGTATTTAAGGCTGGACTCAAGAAAATCTTATTTCTCTAAAACTGTATAATTTTTTTTCACTTTTTAAAGGTACAAATGTCAACTTTTATAGAACCTTTTCTAAGACTTCCAAAGACCTTGAATCATATAAAGATGAATAAAATGAAAATTTTTGCATGAAAAAATTTCATTTACAAACTTCATTTTGATGCATTTCAAATTAAATACCGGGATTAATTTTTGGAGTTATCCTTCCTGGCTGAAGATCAGATATCCTTAAGGTTATCCGATCCTCAGGTTCTGAAAATCAGGCATTGAGTAATTGAAAATGCTCACAAAGATGTCTCTAAATTCTCACATTTAAATGTATTTACCCACGGTGTTTCTTTAAACTTCATCTTTAAATTTAATCATATTACATAGGGAAAATTAGTAAATCTCAAACAATTTTTCAGGAAATGCGCTTTGAACTACCTACTGCATATTTTTTAATTGATAATTGATCAAGAAATACATTTTAGGAATAAAAATCATAGGTATCCAGGCTTTCAAAGTAAATTGCATGAAATTTACACTTATTTGGTACTTTTACTTTCTCCTACTTACTTCCATCGTTTTATAATGCATAGTGTTTCCTTTCAAAGAAAACACAGTAAATCACTTCTTATTTCAAGACATGCTTAGTAACATTGGTAACTAAAGCTTAATTAAAAGAAATTTGATTTTTTTTATAATATGCAAGTTCTACTTAATTTTATATAGTACAAATGTCAACTTTTTAAATACCGTTTGTTGAAACTTTAAAGAACATTGCATCATACATAGTGGCATAAAATGAAAATTGTTGCATGAAAAAATTTCAATTTCAAGCTTTATTTTAAGACTTTTTGAATTAAATTATAAATTAAAGAGTTATCCTTCCTGGCTGAGGATCGTATATCCTTAAGGTAGAGCACCTTATAATCACTTGAATATTGTATTCTAAAGCTAAGTTACGTTTATGTTAACTATCGGCGCCAAGTACTTTATAAAAACCCTCTTGATATTTTATTCTAAAGCTTATCTAAGTTACGTCTAAGTAGAATATTGGGGTAGAGAACTCGTATATAGAATTTGCAATGCCCTATTATAACCGAAAAATGATAAGTACGAGGGTTGTTAGAAAATCATTGAGACATTGTGTATATTTTGCTTTCTAATGAACGTCTTTCGGTGAAAATATGCATATACGTTTGACCTACACTAAGAATCAATAAAAGCAAGATATATTTTTACAATATTAAATATTTTCTCTGAAATGGTATATAAATGCGCCAATAGTAGGTACCCGGAGCAGTCATGAAATCAGATTTTGAAAATATATAACGCCAACGTTCTAGCTTGTCGTGGACCAATAATAAGAGCGGAAATAATTCAGTTTATGTGTATAATTTTTCAGCTTTATTTCAAATTGATCTTGTGCATCTTTTATAGAACTTTGATCAGAAATACGGAGATCATAAAAAAAATTAAGCGCGGTAGAAAAATCTGCTAACAACGGCAAAATGGAATTTGACGTCAAGGGCTGAGCAGCCAGCATACGTAAAATTTTGTGTTGCGCAATGTAGAACTCTTTCTTCCAGACTGAACGGCCCTGTAAAACAATAAAAATGAAAAAAAAAATAATGTGTTAAGTACGAAAGCCCAGAAGATCCAAATTAACCAATCAAAAGCGGGTTCAACTTTTGATTACTCCCCTTTGTTATTCAACTTATTCAACCAGAGTAAATGTAAAAGCTCTGGACAACCATGAGTTATTACTCACGGTATTTATATAGTTACGGTATTTTAAAATATCGTTTATCTGCGTTGCATAAATCGGCACTGCATGATTCTAAGTCATCCTTCCCCCCAAATGAAAATTTTACACTGGGGTAGAAACAGCATGCATTTTCAAATGATACTTTAAGAAAAGAGACTTTTTGATTTTTGTAATGTTATAGGTAATAACAAAAAAGGAAGAGTATTAAACGCTTCCCGATCGTTTCACATGCAAAACCATCTCCAGCTGACTTGACGTTAAATGACGTAGCGATGCTGCTTCGGGTCGATAGATTATTTCACCAAACTTTATCTAATTAGCACAGGTTTTAGAAATTTTGCTTGAGTGTTTTATTCGTTCTTTATAAAATGTTCTATATAAAATATAGAATTTTCATGAAATAATCTCCGTCCTTTATGGAGTAAATGTAATTGTCTCAATAATTTCCGAACAACCCTCGTAGATTCGTTCACATGTTAATTCAGAAGAAATATAATATACAGGAATATATATACCGATACGAATACGTGTACGTACATACGTATAGGAACCACCGCTGGGTTTCTTCGGCGTACCTAGAGAATATAAAGAATAAAAATAATTTAAGGGCTGTTATTGAATATTGATCAGTAATGCGATCGATTACGACCAAACAAGCATTCATAAAAATAGAAAAAGAGCAAGATACAAAGATATATATAGGAATATAATATTGACATGAAAGCTATATGAATGGGGGAAAAAAGAAAGAATAACCCTTGTCTTTATTTTTGGAAAACTAGAACCCTGACCCTGGGGCCATAAAATTCACAATTTTGGTAGAGGCACTCTTGCTCATCATAACTATGAACTTAATTAGTTTATTTCATACTCAGGAACAGAGAAGAAGATTTTCAAAGAAATAATGCATTTTCACTAAATACTTATTTAGCCCCTCCCTAGCACAAGAACCCCTGACCCCATGGCCATGGAATTCACAATTTTGGTAGAGGACTCAATGCTAATTACAATCATGCAAACAGTTTGACTGCTCGATGTCCAGGAGTAAAGAAGAAGATTTTTAAAGACTGCAATAATTTTAGTGGTTTTGGCCCCACCCCAGGCCCCAGGGTGGCAGGGATAATGAAATTCACAATTTTTGTTCCCATTCACTCATAGATGTTTTGTGCCAAATTTGGTTGAAATTAGTTCAGTGGTTGCAGAGAAGAATAAGCTGAAAATGTTCAAAAGTTTACGACCGATTGACGACGAAGGACGGATGACGACGGACGAAAACAGATAGCAATAGGTCACCTGAGTGACTCAGGTGACCTAACAAATATAGGAGGGTTAAAGAAATAAATAATTATTTTGTGTTGTCTAATAAAGTCTATTTGTTAGGAAACAAACAAGTTCAAAAATTTTGAAGATATAAAACTCAAAGTATTTAAACAAAAATATTACTCCAAAACTGGGAGAAACTACTGCAAATTGAATCGGAAAGAATTTGGAGGTCAGTTCATGAAGTTAAGATTTCTAGAAACAAAAGAATCAAGAATTTCAATGGAATTGTGTGCATAACACATATCTAACTGAAGAAAAACGAAGCTTTTTTGTAAATCAAATATTTAACAAGAAAACATTGATGTAACCATCAATTGTCGCCCGGGAAATAAATAAAGTAAACAATGGAAATGATTCTTGATCATCAAACCGCTTCGATATGTGTGAAAAAGGCATGTGTCTAAATGATAGAGACAATAATCGAGAATATTTTGAAAACTTATAATCGGATGAAAATCGAACAAAAATGATACCCTTTTAAATTTTATTAATTCCTCAAGTAAATGTTGGCTGCATAAATATAAATTTAAACCAGACACATGCATCACATACATGTAGATATTAAAAAATGTATTTCACTTTAAGAACATAAACACGAACTGTGTAGAGTACGCTTTTATGCGACATGTAAAATTCGGTGTTCTGAAAAAAAGGGACCTGTCGTTTTTTCGATAGTAAATGATAAAGCCGCTTCATCCGAAACAGGCACATATTATCTTAAACAATAAAAGTTTGTCATTACATAGATAATATATAAAAATTAATTATAAGATTGATTTAATAGTTTATTACACCAATCCTTACATGGAAAACATAGACCAAAACCTTGTTGACAAACAGTAGTTCCTGACGGGAAGTTAAGATCTGTTTTGAAGTCACCTTTGAAAAAAATACTTTTATCGGTTATATCTAATTATGAAGAGAATTTAAACCCGACTATTTTTTTTCCATTAGTAGAATCCTAAGTCATGATATATCTTTTAAAAATTAAGAAATTAACTGAATATAATCCATAGTAATTTTTATATTAATATGCATATTTACAGAATAAAGAAAAATCAGATATTTTTAAATATTTTTTTAAAAAGGGAGTTTAGTAACGAGGGTTAGATTATTGCCCGTGTACACTTTGTTGTGGAAAAAATGCTCGGGTTTGTTCTTCATGAGTTATACATGTAAGCGATAAATTTAATTTTTCGAAGGTGATTTCACGCAATGTAAACAAAGGATTATTTTTTGTGTGACCTAACAAAAATTATTTTCTTAACTTTTGAATTTTGATATCTTTAAAAAGAAAAAGACTTTGGGGATATAATTTGACAAAAATTGAAATAATTTATGGATAATTATTTTTCAAGAAGAAAAACGAATATATTTTTTAGCGATTAGAATCGGACCAAGCGGCTATAAGCAACTTTATATATTAAATATGAAAAACATATACAAGGTATATTTTTACAGATTCACTTTATGGAAGTAACTATATTATGTATCTCGTAATTTATAAAAGGAAAGAACATTGTGATTAACAATCTTTTTAATGTTTAGAAAACCTTTAAATCTGAATAACTTCTCCCACCTAAATCCCCATATACCCACAGGCACCTGAAGTATGGACCGAATCCCCCCTTTTTTTATGAAAAAAAAATGTAAGAGTGTATAATACCTCGAAAATATAAAATTTCCCTGTCAAACACATCTATATGTCGTTATATGCAAGCAGATTGCACTTTTTCTCACGTTAAAAGAATGGCCCTGTTCGGTATTTCTAATATACCGAATAGTGCCATTCTTTAAACGTGAGAAAAAGTGCAATCTACTTGCATATAACGACATATAGATGTGTTTGACAGGGAAATTTTATATTTTCAAGGTATTATACACTCTTACATTTTTTTTCATTAAAAAAAAGGGGGGGTATTCGATCCATACTTCAGGTGCCTGTGCATATACCAACACTTAAACTTATATGTATAGAGCAGCCCGGTCCTTCTGGCTGCAACAGTGAAAGTCGGGAACATTTATTTTATGATGTAATCACGTCAAACCAAAGCCCAAGTGTAAAATCCACCTGTGACATCACTCTTTTGTTTAAGTGCTCCATTATTTTTCAGGAATTGATAGTTGCATATTACATTGAAAGCAGCATCTGTTTTGTTCCTATTATCCTTCCCCTTCCTCTACCGAAGAAATAATTTTAAAAATTTTATCTGGTTCATTATAACATAAAGAAAATTTAAGTACCCATTGTGAGAATCGAGCCCGGAACCCTAATCTTTTGGAGTCGGGTACTCATTTCATTGAGCTATTCAAGCCGTTGATATACATTGACTTAGAATAACTTCATTACACTTTTTCTTGCCTTACTTTCCATAGTATATATCACAGGCACCTTGCGTTATTATTATACTTTGGATTAAAAATTTATTACCGAAACAAGTGCCCGTGGTATATATAAATATAAATTGACTACTACTATTAAATATGTAATGTATGCACGTATGTACTGGTATTTACAGTGTATAATATAAATATTCTTTATTATACATTAACAAACAATTATTACAAGCATTTCGAAAGGTGGATTATACTAGTATATCTCTCCTTAGAAATGACACTTAAGTACTTATTGATTAAGGTTATATGTTTTAAAAACTATTAAAAATACTCACACCTAGATGTTTTGCCATTAAAGATGAAAGAAGCTTTTATTGAAATTGATTTTGAATCTTTCAGTGTCACAGCGTTTTCACAAGTGAAAACTCCAGGTATCGGGTCACATCGATCAAGTACCAAATACACCGTCACAAAACTTTTACTAGAGCCTAAAAGAAAAATCTCTCATTTCTTCATTCTACCACAGCCTGGTAAAATAAGAAAATAAATATATTAAAGAGGCTGGGGGTGGCAGCCTTTTTTTTTTTTTAGACTTTTTCAATCTCCTTTAAAAGGAGAGCTCCATATAAAGATATACAAAAATGATCAAATTTTAAAACTAAAATGTATTTTTTTTCTTTGTCAAATGATACTAGTAGTTGACAGCTAAAGATACCGTATCTAAAAAAATAAGTTAAATCTGGTGGTTAATTTGGGATTAATTTGTTGACCCACCAGCTTCCTTAATAAATATATAAATAATTAAAGTAATTAAATAATATATATGGACTATTGTATAAAATGTATTTACACACTTGCTTTAAAATTTGCACGATTTCGAACTGCCCCCCCCCCCTCCCATTTTTTTTCTTTTTTTAAGAAAAAAAACAACTTTAGATTAAAGATTTGAACTTATCGTATTGTTGCTAAGATTTTATATTTCAAATTATCAATTTTGTTTTTCTTGTGAGAAGGCCTTACTTGGGTGCCCAAATTTGATTTGTATTTGAGAAAAATTGAACCTTTCTTAAGTTGCCATACGGGGGCATCAGTGTTTCACAAATTTATAAATCTTGTTCAAAATATTATTAATTGTACACCAAAGACTGAAAACATGGGCTCGAGTTTTGTTTGTTTTACCGGGTTTGATCTTCTATCAATGCATACGCCACTAAGCACAACAACACTCTTGTAATGGTTAAGCTTTCAAACATATAATTTATATTTTGCCCCTTTTTTTAAGTTTAAAATCTGCCTAAAACTCAACAATTCTATGAAACATTTCAAGGATTTTAAAAACTTCAAAATGGACCTTCACTCCTTTAAATAGTTCAGATGACCAGATACTAGTTATTTGGACCATCTTGCGTTTGACGTGATCAACTAACAATAATTTTCCTCCGCTTTCGCGAAAGCGATGGGACATTAAATCTCATTCGTCTGTCCGTCCGTCAAAAAACTTCTTTACATCGTGACCTTGACCTTGTAGTTTGTCCTACTTTTCAAAAACCTTAACCTTGGTCATAGCTTTTAAATGAGAAGTGATAAGGCTTTCATATTAAACCTGTGTATTATATATTGGCTGTGACAAGCCCTTTCTATTAAAAAATGCATTGATTTTTACCCATAAACCTTGATGTTTGACCTACTTTTTGAAATATCTTAATTTTTCCTTGTAACTTTTGATTTAGAAGAGATAGAGATTTCATATTTGACAATTGCAATACAAGTGCATTACCTATGGCAAGATATTTCCAAGCATGCTTTGATATCTGACCCCTTGACCATGACTATTTACGATTGACCTTATATTCAAAAGTATCAACTTCGGTGATAACTTCTGAATGACATATGATAGGGCGTTTATATTTGACACAATATGTCATAAAAATGACATCTCACCCACAAAAACACCGAAAGCGGGGGACCTCAATTCTTTAGATTTGCTTGTTGTTTACCGAAAGTTACAGTGTGTAAATCAAAAATGGAAATCAAGAACATGGTGGATGTGTATTTGATACATGGAATTTTTGTTGCCCGCAAAAACTTTAACCCTTTCCAAATCGTTTGATTAGTTGGAGTTAAACTTTTGATTGATTGGATGTATGGCTTTCATAGCTACAGATCTGTAGCTTTATGGTTTTATATATTTGTCCTTGACCATAACGCTACAAATCCCGTAATGCAAAAAAGGTGCAATTTACGGCGCATTTATTTTTTTGCGCTCTTTCGGGAGAATTTCTCCACGTTCCAGCATCAGTCAATCAACTATCTTTCACTCCCTAATTCTAGACACATTCTGTAGCCAATATGTATATTTTATCCATCTCCCAAACATTTTTAGTTGTCTGTACAGACAATAAACTTGCTTGAAGTGATTTTTTAGCAATCTAACAAATAATAGTAATAAAGCGAGTTAATCACTTGTAGACACGATTATAGAGGGTTGGGAGATGGATAAAATTTACAGATTAGTTAAATAATGTGCCTAGAATTAGGGAATGAAAGGTAATTAATTGACCGATGCTGAAAAGGGGAGAAATTCACCCCCAAAAAGCGCAAAAAATATTGCGCCGTAAATTGCATCTTTTTTGCATTAGGGGATCTGTAGCGTTATGGTCAAAGACAAATATATAAAACCGTAACTCTACAGATCTGCAGCTAAGGCTTTCATAGATCAAAGGTATTTTTGTCTTTAGATCTTTCTTTGGGTACTATGTATTTGACCTCTTGACTTTAACCTTGCAGTTTGTCTGACTCAATTATTCAAAATTTTACCAGTACTTTTACTTTGACCATAACTTTTGAAGTAAGCAACCTCTATATATACTATTATATACATATGCTAGGCAAGCAACAAAAAAAATTATATCCGTCAGATAAATTTACTATTATTTCGGTCTTCACAAAAAAGTGTATTTTATATGGGCTGAAATACTGACTTTTTGTAACAGTGGCTTGGACATTTCTATTCCCCAGTGCTGAAATGAAAAAAGATGGCACAAACTTATCACTCTTCCTTTGCCATCTAACATTACTCGAACCGAACATCTTGTCCTTAGCTTCAGATTCTGAAATTAAAGTAAAATATCAGCAATCAGAAGTTTTTAAAGAAAATGAAGATTTTGAAGGCAAGCTTAAAATAGGCTAAGTAAATTATTAGGATTTAAACTTTGTTATTTTTAGGTCATGAAGGCTGTCATTTGTCATATTTCGTCTGACATCTGTCCGTCAATTTGTCAATAAGACTGTTCGTGACTGTAAGAGCTTAATATTTTCATATTCTCCAGATCCACTGGGTCAATTTCAATTAATTTTGCATTTTCACTATACATTGTATAATCATTAGAGCCCCATCCTAACACCAAAACCCCTGACCCAAGGGCTTTGAAATGCACAATGCACAATTTTGAAAAAAAAGCACCCTTCCTTTACCCTCCATATTCCTTGCCATAACTATGTAGTTTATTGAGTTAATACCTAGGAGATTGGGAGACATTTTTTTAATTAATGTATTTTTACCATATAATCAATGTGGCCCCGCCCTTAAACACCAAAAACCCTGACCCTGGGGCCATGAAATTCACAATTTGAAAGAGAAAGAGGTACCCTTTCTCATCATAACTATGTAATATTTCATTGGATTTATACCAGGAGTAGAGGAGAAGATTTTTAAAGAAATAATACATTTTCACTATATAATCAGAAGAGCCGCCCTAGCACCAGAACCCCTGAACCTGGAGCAAAGAATTTCAAAATTCTGGTAGAAGGATCAATACTAATTACAATCATGTCAAGACTTTGACTGCTTGATGTCCAGGAAAAAAGAAGATTATTTAAAGAATGCGTTAATGTTAGTGGTTTTGGCCCCATCTCTCAGTCCCCAGGGGGTAGGGATCATAAAACTCACAATTTTTGTACCCCTTCACCCATAGATGCATAATGCTTAATTTGGTTGAAATTGGCTGAGAGGTTTCAGAGAAGCTGAAAATGTTTAAATTAACGCACGACGGACGACGCGCGATGACAAACAAAACAGATAGCAAAAGGTGACCTGAGTGACTCAGGAGATCTTTTAAAAAATAAATAAATAGAGGAATCGGAATTTCCCAGCAATGGGCACATCTACACACAGTACACACTGTGTCCAAAAGATCTGTTCATTATGATGAAATTTTGTGCAGCTTTAGAAGAAATGTTGCGCTGACAAACTCGAAAAGTGTAATATAAACCTTACAAAAATATATAAAGCCATGTAAATTTTATGAGGAAAAGCCAAACTGTTAAAATCAGAATATGTGAATTTACTATTTTTCACCACATTCCGCTTCCTCATAAAATTCGCCTGGCTTTGTATACTTATTCTAAAGTTAATATTACACTTTTAGCTTACATATTCTGAATTTTTTTTCAACGGTAAACCTTTACTGTATATGATTTGTTCATTTTTGTTATTTTATTGAGGTATATACTAATATTTTCCAAATCTATTTTATTTTCCAAGACTAACGAGATAAAATTCAAAGAATTATCCACTTTTCTAAGCCTTGAGATGATACTAAGTCCAAAGAAAAAAAAAGTGTGTGTATCATCTGTCCTTAACATGCCGTTAATAAAATCGTCAATTTTTTCAACTTAGAAAATCGCGCGTTTTTCTAAAAAAAGAAAAAAAGAAAAGAAGAAAGCATTGTTCCAATGTGCGACACATATACTAGTCTTGCTTTCCCTCTAAATGCACTCTTCTAAATTTACCATGCACTGCAAAACAAAGTAAACACAATACAAGAGACCCATGGGCCACATCGCTCACGTGACCATTTTGAACCCCATATTGTGGCCCCTCTCTATCCCCGAGGTCTTGTTTTGAAAAAAAAAGATCATTCCCAACATGAGGATGCTTACATTTCAATATGACTAAATATTAGCTTTTCTGTTCTTGAGATTTTCCCCTATATATTCTATGTAAAATTTGACCCCCCCCCCCCTTGTTGCCCCATCCAATCCTCGGGGATCATGATTGTGACAAACCTGAGTCTTAACCATCTGAGGATGCTTCCATATAAAAATCATTAAACATGGCTTTGCTGTCCTTGAGAAAAAAGATTTTAAAGTTTTTTTCTTATATATTTCTATGTAAAAATTAAATTGACCATTATATGGTCCCACTCTACCCCCGGGGGTCTTGATTTGAGAAAAATTTAATTTACATTGTCCAAGGATGCTTCCAAATAAATATCACCAATCATGTCTTTGCTGTTTTATTTTTTTTTAGCTAACTTGAGAAGACTTTTAATTCACCATTTTCACTATTTCCTTAGTTGTCTCCACTTGGAAGATGGCTTGGTCCTTCATTTGAAACCCCTTTACCAATCAATACTCTGTGCCAAATTTGGTTCAATTTGGCCTTGTGCATGGTTCTTGAGAAAAAGTTGAAAATGTTAAAAGTTTATGACAACAACACCATGCAACGACAGACAAAGGACAAAAAACTACGAACGATAGTATTGTTCTCCCGCCTACCTTTGAGTTAATTCTCAAAAGATAACATATTCGAATGATTTTCAGAATTTTTTAGATATTTATATGAATTTACATAAAACGTTACTTATTTGGGATACCAAAGAGTGATAACTCTATAATTTTGGTAAAACTTGTTTTTCACCATAGAAATCAACGGAAAATATTTTTAAAACATCTCCCCCTACCCCCCCCCCCCCCCCCCCCCCCCCGTGAAACAAAAATACCTTTTAACAGGTATTATGGACTGTCATTTTACAAATTTATGCCAAAGTTTATTGTGTTTCATGGGGGGGGGGCATACCGGGTTTGTTTATAGACAGAAAAAAAAATTCAAATTTTTCATCAATTTTAAAGTTATTTACAACTAAATAATTGTATTTTATTAATTTATTTATGTTTTATTTATTTTCGTTACACATAAGAAAAGATATAAGATACATTTTTTTTCATATTTAAGACTATTTCAAAATGTGGTGATTCTTGAAAGTTTGATTTCACTAGAAAATATCGTCTACCCCCCTTTTTTCAAGAGCTAGAATTAATGATAATTTACTGTCTTGCGCTGGAATTAAAATGATTAATCAACTACCATTGAACTGTTCTTTGCCATTAATATTGAATTTAATGGGTACAAAATGTAGGCGGGAATCAAGAGTTAGAGTTCGTAGTTCTTTTGATCAGAAAAGCTCGCTAATAAAATGACACCAAATCGAGACTGTATTCACCTATAATGTTAAATATCCCTTTTGTTTTATTAACAGATGACCTCCATTCCATCCTGAAACCTATATTTTCTTTGACCTTCTGTTTGAAAAAGAGGTGCGCATCCTTAGTTCTTGCTCCCATTTCTGGTTTACACGTCACGTTCACAACTTTGGCACGGTATAAGCTCTGGACACTGCCAACAATATCAACAGGGCTCCTATTAGCTGCAAACAGAATATGACAGTTTTTCTTTCTTATTTTCCACTTTTCAATCTTGTGATTTGTCTTGAGATCATGATTAATATTACTGCTTGTGTATATAATATGGCTTTACTCAGAATCGCTTTGGTACGGAAATACATGTACAAGTATGGTTGTTTCAACTGCGTACAATGTAATTAATTCATTCTATAAGTACTAGTTTTATCTTCAAAAGTCCACATTATTTTATTAGTGAAAAGAATAAGAGAACAACAATTAAATCTCTGACTAGTGAGTATACACCTATATAGAGTACAACAGACCAATCTCTGACTAATGAGTATACACCTATATAGAGTACAACAGTATACACCTGTATAGAAAATAACGGTCCAATCTCTGACTAAAGATACACCTGTATAGAAAATAACAATCTCTGACTAATGAATATACACCTGTTTAGAGAACAACAGTCCAATCTCTGACTTATGAGTTTACACCTGTATATACTACAACAATCCAAGCTCTGACTAATGAATATACACCTGTATACAGTACTCCAATCTCTGCCTTATGATATACAGCTTGATAGATTATAACAGTCTTATCTCTGACTAATGTTATTGTGGTAAATTTGAATACATGGAGTACAATCTCTATGTTGAGACATATTATCAGGAAGAATAAGTTCAAAAAGTATTTATCCTGTGTTAGAAATTATCAGACCATGATTAAATTCGAACTTAATTGACCCGTGTTTTTTAGTATACCTGCAAATACAAATTAAACCTAAAACACTCATTCCTGCAGATCTAGAGAGCGGAAACTTTAAATGTCATTTTTTTCAAAGTTCAAGAGGGATAACTCTGTCAAAAATCATTGTACCAATTTTGAACGTGACCTGTATGATTTGATAAAATACTTGCACATGCAATTTAAATCTTATAACTGTATACCTGGTAATACATACATTCCTACAAAAGTATAAAGAGTGGAAACTTAAAATAAAGTTCAAGAGGGATAACTCTGTCAAAAATCATCATGCCATAGCCGTATTCCCCATTTTCAAAAGGTGAGTTATTTCTGAAGGGAACTCTTTTATGAGTTTAATACGCATGCGCTATAAATAAAGTCAATTCCGCGGGGACGTTCTTGATGTAAACATGTTCATGGTGTATGCCTCTGTCATATGGAAAAATGTTATTGTGTTTGTGAATAAATCTTGATTCGTATTTTTTTACCCATGTCTCTTTCTGGATTTGTATTAATCTGCGTTGTACTATAATAAGGTGCTGTGTGACCCCCCCCCCCCCCTTTACAAAAAAAAGAAAAGAAACAAATTACTGATAAAATGCTGATACATATTCGGAAAGGCCTATTTAAAAAAAAAAACAAACAAACAATAGCTAATTTTCGGTAGTGGATGTTCTGCAGACGGATCATTATTATTTACAAAATGTGCAGAAAAATTAAAGAATTTTAAGTTATAAAGTTTTTACGAATTAATCTAGCCTGGTGCAGCCATATTTTCTTTTCTGCATCTCTAGGAATTTTTGAAGACTGATGACATGTCTGAAATTGCTGCATATACAGCAGTAGTTCGTCTTCCGCGAATTCCAAGAAACTGCGTTTTGCTAGATTGTATGTCATAACATAGAACTTTTACTTAAAGAACACATTTTGTGACAATTAAAGGCCTATTTCATTTGAATTAACCGTGTTTCTAGAATTTTTTATTTGTAAAATAATTGATTCACTATTTAGTATTAAAACTTTGAATGGAATTCTAAATGAATAATTTAATCTCATGTGCTCATGTAACGAAGAAAGACTAATTAAAATAGCATCGACCTGAATTCATGTTACATATGTCGCATAAAGTCTGAGCTGCATTTAATCAAAGTTTTAGTGTAGGATCTAAGCATATGTACATGTATATTCCCGAGTAAAATACACATTTTGTTTTAAATAGATCAGAGAATTGAGAGCAGAAAAACGAAATTGAAAAAATAATTTCCTAGCGTATTTCTCGTTAATTAACCGAAAACAATCTTTTCTCAAGTGTTATTTATTTTTTTAAAATCCTTTCAGTGTAAGTACATGTATTTATTTTTATAAGTTATTCTTTAAAGTGTGTAAAGAGAGAGAGAGAGAGAGAGAGAGAGAGAGAGAGAGAGAGAGAGAGAGAGAGAGAGAGAGAGAGAGACTCCGTGTAACTGACATACATGTACATCTGTGAAAAAAATATATGACCCTAATTTTATTGAATTCACAATTATTCTAATAATTTTTAATTTTCACAACTATGGTTCATATTCAACTGTTCAACCCATTTACATATTCTTGTATAACTGTATTTAGCACAACCCCCACTTTTTTCCAATATACTTTTTCTATTGAAAATGTTCATTGATAGACAAGTTGCCACCCCCCCCCCCCCCCCCACACACACACACAGTTTATACTACAAAAGTATATAAGGGAAATGTAGTATTGGAAACTGGTACTGGAATAAAGTTTTTCAACATTGGGCAAGGTTTATCTTTGTTTGCCAACTTTTCCAGGTAAGATAAAAATATTTCTTTGGCTACCCCCCCCCTTTTAAAGATGATGCTAGCTACGTGCCTGGCTATTCGTATAGTTTTCTAGAAAGGGGGGGGGGGGGCTGACAGACCCTTTATAAAATAATTTATTATCTAAAAAATGCAAACCGTTTCCTTCTTTTGAAATTTTTAAATACAACGTGTAAGTTGATCACTATTTTGTGGATTATCTTGTAGTCCGCGGAAAAGTGATTCTGTGTGGTAAAAATTCTGTGTGGTAAAAAAAAAAAAATCCTTCACATTGTAGTCAATTTTGTACCAGTTTAGTTTAAAAGGTTTTTACCATTCAAAATGGCTTATGGAAATTAACGAGATTTTACATGATTGTAATTTGGACCTAATGTGGAATGCTCATTATGTTGATAAATCATGCAAAATTGGTGCGTTAGTTAAGAATACATTTAAAATTAATTTTATCCAGGACTGGAATGTAAATGTATTAAATTCTCCAAAATGCCTCCACTATAGAATGTATAAGTGTAATTTTGGTTTTGAAAATTATCTAAACATGTTACCAAATGATCTTAGATTATATTTAAGTAAATTTTGTTGTGTCAGTCATAACTTGCAAATCGAAGCTGGTATATTTTTTTAGTATTGATAGATCTGAGAGACATTGTAACCTCTGCAATAACAATGAACTTGGTGACGAGTTTCATTATATATTCAAGTGTCCTTTTTTAAGAATGAAAGACAGAACTTTATACCTAAAAATATTTACATGAACCCAAACACAATATCTTTTTATGATTTGATGAATACTTCTGATATATATGAACTAATAGGTTTAGCTAAGTTTTGTAAAACTGTTCTTAGAACATTTAATACCTGAACTTCCTACGATGTAAACTTTATTTCTTTATTTTTGTACATCCATCAGTACTGTCCATATCAAAGATCTTTTTCTTGTTCATCATGTTAACTAGTTACTGTTCACATGTTTACTTGTTCATTTGTTAAATTATTGTTGTACTAACATATCCCATGTGGGGGCTTTAGTGAAATAAAAAGTTTCAAAGTTTCAATTTTCTAGAGCTTGACCTGCGAATTATATCCCAAATTTGAGTTGAATGTGTGAAACTGTTGCCAAAATGAATTGAAAGTCAATCATGAAGGAATGACAGAATGACCGAATGATGGAACTGTCAAATTACCCTAAATGTTCCAGGCCATTTTATTGTGGGGACTAAAAAGGGGAAATGCAATGATAATAATAGCGCTTTTTTCCACAAACCTGTAATTGACGTTGCACTTTCGTATTTTTCAAATTCTGTGTCGTATAAAGTAAGTTTTTTCTTTCCTTTGTTCATCTGAAATAGAGAAAAATGACATAAACATACGGCTATCCACAATTAATCTTCTACTTACTCTTCCAACTATGGGTAATAAATTATTACCCATAGTTGGAAGAGTAAGTAGAAGATTATTACTAATAATTTCTAATAATTATTAAATATTAATAAAAAAAAATTATCTTTGTTTGATCTTTACAGATTTTTACAACGTTGGCTGGTGGCGCCCCCCTACCAAACTGTTTTATATGCTGCAGACCTGCAGATAGTCCGCTGCAAGTTTGCAGCAAGTAAAATTGTTCGCAGGAAGAAAACTTTCTTATTTGTAGATGATTGTCGCTAGCTGCGATCTTGTAGTAAACATTGCAGCGATTGCTACAAGCTTGCAGCAAATTTGCAGGAACTCAACATGTTTGCAGAAGCATTGCAAGAAACATACACGCCAATCTGAACATTGTTCTAAGCAAGTGTACCGGAAACTTTATATTTCTCGAATAGAGAGTTGCAGGAACAGTAAACAAGTCAAATTAAATAAACCAATTAAATGCAGAGTGTACTGGGCCAACACAGAATTCGCCATTTTGAATTATGTTTGAAATTGGAAAATTATTTTTCTAAAGATGTTTCAGTATTTTTAAAATATAAATACCAATTTGAATGATAAAAAAGGCATAACCTGGATATAGGTTTACATCATATTTTTTGTGAGCTAAACTTGTTTGAAAAGCGATAGCGGATTTGGAACATCTAATTTTAATTACATTGTACTGTACACAACATCTTATTCGTTAGCTCTGATTTGTTTTATTTTTACATGTACATGATGTACGAAACTACATTTTCTTAATTAAGGTAGGATTCTTCTCATATTTCTAATATTTAAAAAATTAATGAAATTTTCACAGAACCAAGAAGACAGTTTTGGTAAGTGATAATATCAGTGAAATTAAATTTGACCATTTTATATTAGAGGCAAGGTCAGGTCAAGGTCATTATCTTTTTCCTTTACATTAAGAATAATAAAAAATAACTGTTGCCAATCATGTGATACCTACTTTTATTTCAAAAGTTTAATGATTGTTCTTTTTGCATACTATATCGGGTCTATAGCATGATATTACCAAATTTACATAAATAATTTAATTTAACTGGATATTGGCTAATCCGAATTTTCTCTGTTTTCTCAATTTTTTTTAGGATATATTAGTTATTTTCATATGCTTCCCATATTTAACTTTTTATTATTTTCACATATTATAAAGTTGTCTTATAAATGTACAAAATGATACAAAACCAAAAGTTTTGATTGTTTACTAAGAGATAAAAAAAATACTTATGGATTTTTGGCTCAAATCTGCACTTTGATAGGAAGCGTTTAAAAGCTAATAAATTTCTAGTTTGTTTGAAAAATCATATTTATTTGATATACATGTATTTTGAAAGTTTAGTCCCTCATTATCAATCTAACTTACATTTGAAAATTTCTCCAAGACTTCGATTGTGTAAAAATTATAACAAAATTCATTGTTCTATTATAATTTTGAGAGGCAGAAACAAATATTTTCATACGCCACCATTCCGGCAAAAATATAGTCCCTGCTAGTTTTCAAGCGCAGTTTACCAAAAAATGAAAAAAAATGAATTCTATTTAAAGTTGTACAATTGTGACGAGGAAAGAAAAAATATGGTCTTTTAAATTTCTTGCACCTCAATATGTAAGACATATATTATAAGCAAATATACTTTGAATGTTTCATCTAGTCAGAAACCAGAGAAGAATCCTACCTTAAGTAACTAATGAAGTTGCTTGGTAAAATCTAAATCTATTTATCAATTTCAAAAAAAAATTAAAAGCCATTAATTTAATTAAGTCGCACAGTCGTTATTAAAATTATCTGTAAAATCCACGGCATACTCGCTACATTACTAGCAAGTATGCGAGCGGATCTAACATCTCATCTAATCTTAATTAGATTGGGGTGGGGAGGGAGTCCTATACAACATGCTTAAAATTCAACAAATATTTTAACAGTGTTAATAGCCATTCTCTGTAACCATTTAAACTTCGTTGCCACGCATGGT